AAAAAAAAAAAAAAAAAAAAAAAAACGTCCTAGGTAAATGAGCATGGTGGAAGGGCAAATAACGTCAGTATAACACTGTTTAAAGACTACAAGCACTTAAATAACCTTCTGTACGAGTAATGCTATGATGAAAGAGATGCAAACACAGCAGATACGAACACAGGCAAAACTCCAGCCTACGCCAGCACCCTATCCCAGACCAAAAAATACCCTATCCCAGACAAAACTACTACCCTATTTCAGACAAAGACTACCCTATCCCAGATAAACTGGCACTGAAAAATGATACCCTATCCCAGACTTGGAGCTCCGAAAAAGGGACTCTATCGAGCAGCACATACCCGTATAGCAAATATAGGGGAGTACCCCCCTCCCCCAGGTATTAGGTGTTCAGTCAAAGGTTGAAAATACCTCCTCATCTTCCTCTTCATCGTCCTTATCGATGTCCATTTCTTCTTCATCATCATCATCACCTTTATCGTCGTCGTCCTTTGTCGACTGTTGTGAGAGGATTTCTTGCCCTTGAATATCACGATTCTTCAGGTTTCCCATCCAGAACGCTTCATGGCATTCATTGAGAGCCAACATTGCCTGATTAACAACCATATAATAGAATAAGAAATTATGGGGCTGCAATAAAATTGGGTGTTTTTATTTGGTATTCGATAAAACTGCATGACTCAGATGGCTTCAGGAGTATTAAAAATGTGTCCGTTAGTCGATCATTTATTCATTCAGAACGTTCGCTTACATCGTTTTAATAGCATTTTGGTTAACTACAGTTTAGATTATTGCAGACGACATCGGATGTACAGTCGGAGAGGATATAATATGCTGACAAAAACAGGTTGACAAAAATGCGACAATGAATACGCCGTGAAGATGTGACTGTCGACAACGCCAACAAGTACTAGATTTAAGCTAAAATGTGAAGAAATGTTTTCGTGCAATTGCGGTACTTTAAAATGTGATTCTATCATATCATATAGCTTATCATATCTCTTTCATAGCGTTTGTGGAATGCGATATAACAGTAGGGCTGAACAGTTAGGAAGAACTGATTGAAATATAGTCATTTAATCCTTTGATAATCGAGATTCGGTTGCACTAAAGATAACCGCAGGATGTACGACCTCTTTTTGAGTAAGTATTCACAGTGTTCATATATCAGTAGTTTTGAGATAACAATTAATAACAGGGCTGTGACGAGATCGGATGTATAGCTTTATTCATTAAACCGTTCTTTATTAGTAGCCTCAAGAGCATTTGAGATCCCTTCAGGGCTCTGACGACGCCGGATATATGGCTGTATTTACTAATTCACTCACTCGGCCTCTCATTTGCATTTTCGTACCCAGATCCTTCTCAGTTTCCCAACGGAAAATCAAAGGCTCTGGTTGAGGACGATAATGGTTCGTATGGCATGATGCATGGAAATTTTTTGAACCAATCAAGTCAAAGAATCATTCGTTTCCAACCAGAGTTTTTGATTTTCCGTTAGGAAACCGAGAAGGTTAGTTTCTTTTTTTTTTTTCTATATTTAAAAATATAGAAGCATACATGAATTACCTTCACACGAAACACAAAAAGTTCGAGAGTCTTCTTAACAGCTGGTACATGGTTAGTTAGCGCTATGTCTTTTGCAACCTGTAAATCCCACAAACAAGGAATATATTTAATAGCGAAAATATTCTCSTAAAGAAATAGAGCGTTCGCAAATTAATGCAAGAAGTTTATTAGTAGTTGTTGTTGTTGCTGTTGGTCCTTTTACCTTTACAAACAAACTCCTTTATTCCAGTACTTTTCAAGCATTTTCTGTCACAAATTCTATTTAATGGCGACCATTTTGTTTTCAAAAATCCCAGGATGTTGGGTGAGCAGAATGGTGAACCCAGTCAAAGAGTGTGTTTGCTCATATCAATAGGTCGTAAGTTTAGTGCTGATTATTAGCAGATATTTTAGAACCATTAGGATCGTTTCTTTTGCTTTGCAAAGGAACGCTCAAATCAAAGATGACGAATTTTCGTAAAACATTCACCAAAATGTGAGTAATTTGCCAAATATCGTTATAATAAGTTATTCTATGCAATGGGATACCTTTGTATGTCCACAAAAATGTTGCAAACATCTGGTACTCTGCTGTAGGTTCTTCAGTAAACCATGTACAGTGTCCTTTAAATGAAATAATACATTGTTACATGGCTCAAAATAACGGCCGGTCAACGGACAATGACCGGCCAAAATTCGCACTTGTCCGGTCAAACTCCATTTTGGCCGGTGATCTTGACCGTTCAAGACTATAACGTGAAATAAAAAAAAACTGTCAAAATAACTACTGCAGCGGATTCATGTCGACTGTAAAGTAAACGAACAATTCTTGGGACGTTGAAAATATAGCATTGTCCAAGTTCTCATTGAAAAAGTACTCGGATTTTTGTCTGATTCAGTATGATGAGTATCTGTCTGGTTTTTCGTTGTAAACCAGACAAACATTGCGCCACACACTGTATACAAATGACGTGCTGATTTCGCACAGCAACAATAGTTTTCAGGTAGAGCGGATTTCGTATGACTGTGCAAAAAACACGGTACTTCCGTGCTGTGACCGTACAGTGCCATAGCGGGGATGTATTGTTAAATCCTTATTTTTGTTTGGAATCCTAGRAGGCGAGGTTCCGTGTCCGTGCCGTGATCCATGCCTTTGCACAGTCATACGAAATCCGCTATAACGATCAATTCGTCAGTCGTGTCAGTTCTCAGTGCGCTCTCTTCATTCACTGTTGGCCTCCTTTGCTGATTTCGTCGCAGATTTTCTTATGGTGTTCGGATCAATTACTCCCCCAACAAAGTCTGCGCACTCGAGCGACGGTTTTGTCTGCCGTACTTGTAATATGTTCCGACTACACGCAGTTTAGTTGTTTTTCGTATTTGTGAAATGTCAAAGCAAAAGACTTGCTATAAATCAGTGAATAGTAATACAAATCAGTAAAAAGTTAAATTGATCTAATTAATAATCGGCGTCGATCTTCGTGCTTTTTCGCTTTTTTCGTGGAATTTGAGATTTTAGCGTTTTTTTTCTTCGCAAGATTTTCACGCTGCGTGCTAAATTTTTATTCAAATGAAACGCTCAAAAATGAAAAGCTTTTGTTCTTTTTTGGCTTTTGATGCCAATAAACTATGATTTTGTATGAATAAGATATGTTTTAATTTAAGATTTTATGTTTATTCTTTTTTCATTTTTGTCCGGTCAAAACTGGGACATGTCCGGTCAAAATTGTATTTGAACGGTCATCATGTCCGGTCACTGACCGGCCGTTATTTTGAGCCCTGTGTTAACCTTACTTAGTAGTCACTCTAAATGAACACTTACTAAACCTTATTACTGTAAATAAATTATTTAATCTATTCTTTAACAGTTGCTCCAATTGTATACTGGTTTTATTCTGGAGCTCATTATATTACTTACAGCAACATCTGCAGGAAGATGTTGGGGAGGGGGTGGTGGAGGGTTATAGACGGGTGGATTTAGCTTAGAATATCCCAGAATCCTCTAAAACGAAAAGAAGGTTGTACCTTTTCGGACCTCAGCATTTGGTCTAGTACAGGCATACCAATTCTAAGAAACGTTTCAACAAAGACACGACCAAACTACAAAGAAAAGGAAAAAAAATATTGAAGACAAGTACAATATCAATAAACTAAAAATTAGCAAACAAACAATTATATTAAAAAATAAAATATAACAACAATGACAAGGAAATATGAATTCTGCAAATTTCATTTAAATCTTGTTTTACGATTTTTTTTTTCGTATTTTCTATATAGCATATCTTTCTTTCCTATTATCTTTACTTCTGAGGTGGTTATGGTAGCGCGAGTAGAATACATAGATGCATACCTTCAAAGCGGACGATAAGACTTGGCGCTGTTCAAAAACCTTTGGAAAAAGAAAGAGAACATCTTACTAACAGTCACAATCATATATAATGTTCTTTAATTGCAGTAAAAGTTTAGTGGAAAGAGAGGGGTGTGACCTCCGTAAACCTTGCTCCTTCCCTTATTATCTTATATCTTTATTCTTGTCTATTTTTTATTGTGTGTGTGTGTCAATCCATAAAAAAACATACCTGTGCGAAATGACAACAGCAGATCAACAACACATAAATTTACACTGTGGTGACACGTCTCACAAGCGCGCTCCAATAAACATATTGCGCGCTGTTTTGAATTCTATTTCCTCGTATTGACACATTCTTGACGTCATAAAATGTTCAAAATTCGCCGGGTGAATTCGAGAAAAAAAAATATATATATGCACAAGGCACAGCCTTATGTCGTGCAAATTTTGTTCAGTGTTTCATTGTCACAAAGTGCAATATATATTGTAGAACTTTGAAATGTTCCTTCGCATGTGGCCCCTCCCCAATTCAAAGCAAGAAAAATTCATCAAGTAAAATTTAATTAAGAAAAAAATTGCCGTATGACAAAACGCTTCAGAATCGGAATCGGCATCTTATGCAAACGGCTGAATGGAAAATATGGAAAATATGGAGTATAACATAAGGCAATTAATGATCAAGGAACGCAAAGAATAATCGATTCGCATGTAATAAAACTCTTTTAATTAAAATATAAGAATCACAAAAGGAATCAATCAAATTGAACCAGCTGTTTTTGACGCGAGCGCTAGTATACAGAGATGGAAAAAAAACTCAACGATTCTGAAAAAATCATGAGCAACTCCAATATGATGAACGAAATCGACATCTGCATCCCAAACACAAGAGTATTCAAATATTTTAAATATATTTCTTTAATTGGTTTCGGTGGATTTGGAGTTATTGGTAACATCTTCATCATCATTCTCGCTGTCAAGTATACAGCAAGAAAGAACCTTCACTACCTGATCATAAACATGGCCGTTTCTGACATTCTTATTGTTATCACGTACATTCCGACCATTGGGAGTATACCTATTCCAAGCAGCACTTTATTAACGGAAATAATCTTATGCAAAACAGTCCCCTTTTTGCAAGATACGTCAGAAATGCTTACTTTGATAACATTATTTATTATCAGCATTAAAAGATATCGAGCTACAAAACTCAGCATCGGCTCACAAACTTGCTCAAACCTGACACTTATCTGCATTGCCTGGCTGCTATCTATGATAATGTCCTGCTATATTCCTATATATCGTTCTGCCAGAAAAGTAACCCAAGGAATTGTTTCTATATGTTTGAAACACTTCGAATCAATGATTTATCAGGCATTATACGTGCTAAGATCATTTTGCTTACTTTTTCTGTATGTCGCGGTATTAACCCTGAGTTTGGTAACCTCTATAAAACTTTCTAAGAATAACAGCATCCAAGATAACCTTTCTGACGATCAGAGAAGACAGCGAGCAAGGCGCATGATTGGCGCTGTTAGAATGGTACTGTGTTCGTTGTTACTGTACTCGATATGCTATCTGCCTGACTTTATTGAGAATATCATTAAAATCACAGATCGGGCTCTCGTACCTGCATTGAGTGAAACATGCAAAGACCTACTAATTTTTCTGCTCTTTATCCCCAAAATAATAAATTCCTGTTTAAGTCCTTTGGTGTACTTGGTATTTCTGTCTGATTTTGGAAAAGCCGCAGTGAAAATACTGTCAAGGCGTAGACAAACTATGGAATCAACATGTGGAGATGAAAGGCATGATACACGACTCTAATAATCTCTGGTCTCTATGGATGCGTTCGTATGGAATACTGACTTAATTCTCAAAGGTTTGTAAGAACAAACTAACAAATCACTTGGACTCGTTCATCATCACTCGATAGTTTTTTAAAACATTTATTAATGACTGTTATTTAGTTGAATCGGTTTTCATTGTTATTCGGAGTGGGTCTGTATATCGCATATTTCCCTAAAATTACGAATTCATTGGCTATATCTAGCGAACCACGGCTATGTAAAGATATACTTGTTCGGTGTTATTTGTTGATAGTACTTTTTACTGAGTTGTGTGACGAGAAGTTCAAACAAATTCAAACAGACAAAGAATGCAACTGCAGAAACAAGAACGAATAATGCCCCTTAGATGGAAAATGTCTGCAGACGAATGTCTTATACCAAGCGATAGTAACAACAGAAACTACTGAAGAAACATACATAGGACTAGCCACAAACTTCAATGAACGATACAGAAACCATAAATGTTCACTTAAACTGTCAAAACGAAGAAACGAAACAGAACTGTCAAAGTACATCTGGAAATTTAAAGAGGAAAAAAAACATTAAACATTAAAAATAATTAATGCCAATCTTACAACATAACCAAAAATGTAATCTATATCTCAGCGAGAAATTTATAATCATCTGTAAAAAGCACTTATGTTCCTTAAATATAGACGAAATGAATTAGCAAGCCCATTTCAACACAGAGATAGATTTATACTAAGAAACCATGTATTATAACTCTACCGGATATAAATAAGATAGCGTTTTTAGACTACTAGCAAACTTTAACGGTCATTCATTCATTGTAACTTGCCTGACGAGTGTGGCCATCTCTGATGACCATACGAAACCAGCTTGCAATGTAGCAATAAAACAAGGAATCATTCTAGTCTTTAAGTACAATTTTATTTCATATATGAATATATGTATAATGAAGAAGGCCTAGGAGCCGAAACGTCCATTCTCATACTCATTAATTATTCATGAGGTATCCAGCCAATCCCTGATTGTAATTTGTACCACGTGCAGTAACTGGATACCAGAGGAAGTACTCCTACCTTGTATTCTAGCTTATTTCCAGTTACTTCTACCTTGTTTCCAGCTACTTCTATCTTATTTCCAGTTACTTCTACCTTGTTTCTAGTTACTTCTAGCTTTTTCTAACTACTACTAGCTAATGATAATCAAAGTATTAGAAATAATCAACTTAATATAGAATTAATTTAGTGAAAAAAGGTCTTTGATAAATGACTCCCTCACGAAACGATCCCGAACCGTCCACTCTTTATGCGCCGTCTTATACCATTACACCACCGAGTTTCTGATGCGATTCCTTGGAAGATAACATACTTATAAAACTTATGAATTAGACTCATTAGGAATGCCATGAAAAGCAAACAAAGACAATTTGAAAAGCTTTTGTTTCAGAGAGCCGTTCGGGAATTGGAAAACAACAAACGGTGCTTCTTTATTCAAAATTATGAAAACTGAAAAACTTGGTGGAGATGCAATAAATCAATATATTTCTGTTATATGTATTTCCTTCGCTTTTTTCCCCTCCCGAATAATCAATGAGTATGAGAAGTCGTTCAAAGTCCTCCAAATTCGGACTGGACGGGATTTCAAGTCCTTGCAATTAGTTCCAGTCCTCAGCAACCGCCTCGGACTGGAACTAATTGCGCGGACTTGAAACCCCGTCCAGTCCTCATTGTCGGACTTTAAACATTACTTAAAACAGAAATATTATAGCTTTAAGTTGGTGTTTTGTTTAATTTCATTCTACCTATATATATAACTATAAATGAAATTAGTAAAAAGTTGAAGAAAAAGCCACACAACTTGTAACTTAATTTCTACTCTTTATTATAAGTTTCGGGCACATGGCCAGAAATTTCGATAATTTTGCTCACGCGATTTTGGTCAGCGGAGTTACGCTTTCAATATGTCGGCTCTTAGGAAACGAAGTCATGATGAAGGCTATTATCAAAAGTTAAACAAAATTTCTTCAGTTTTATAATATGGAAGTACCAAGAAAAACTCAAAGACTTACACGGATTTTTTGAAATAGAAAGAATTATATCAAAACAGCGCGACAGAACGGCGTAACACTGCTTATATTTACGTGAATTGCATAAGAAATTTTACTTGAACTTTACATATCTTTAGCGTACGTAGTTTAGACTAGAACTGAATTAATGCTATCTTTCAGCTTTTTAGATCCGTACGAATCAAGTTTATCGCTTTATTCATTACATTAGGTTTGAAAATGTTGCTCAAAACAAAGTCCACCGGAAGTAAAAATGCAAATCAGCTTTTTCGGTTTCCCTTTGGAATCCTTCCCACAAATCTTTACGGTATCTGACAGCCTCGTTTCTAAGCTTTATTTTAGTACCAAGAACGGTCCAAAGAAGCATCAAGTTAGGAATTCAATCAACTATATTGACTCTTGTTGAAGAAAATTGGCTTGACATGAATGGAAGAAATTTTTTTATGAAAAGTCCTAGCCTTTGAGCTTAAATTGGAAAAGTTTTTCGATAGAAATAGTCGCTAGAATTGCCGCTAACTTCGAGAGGAAACCTTGTTCTACTTAAATCGAACTTGGCAAACTTCAAGTACATGATCAATTCTTAGGAAAGAAGCGTCAACATATGGCTGTTCATCACTAATTTCAGAGGAATACCGTGAATATCTCACTGAAGAACAGGGAAAATATGTCCTTCGATTGGAAAATTAAGTTAGTCATTTCTGTCCATCATTCGCCCTTCTTCAGCAAACTATAAGTATATATTGCCGTTACTGCTTTAGACAGACAAAAGGACAGCAAGAGAAGTAAAGGGCTTTGAAATAACGATATTGAATAATTCAAATTTTAGAGAAGCCAGTTTTTGTGTCACAAACAGACAACTATTTGATACTGCTAAAGTGACATATTTGATGAATTGCAAGATTCACAAAAGGAAGCAATCAAATTGAACCTACTGTTTTTGACGCGACAACTACATAGAGATAGAAAAACACCTCACCGATTCTGAAAGAATCATGAACAACTCCTATATGATAAACCAAACCGACATTTGCATCCCAAACAGACGAATATTCGAATATTTTAAATATATATCTTTAATTGTTTTTGGTGGATTTGGAATTATTGGAAACATCTTCATCATCATTCTCGCTGTCAAGTATACAGCAAGAAAGAACCTTCAC